TGAAAAAGACGATTCTCTTCTGGATTTTTCAGTTAGTCTATCTGTCAAGCTTAGTGAAAAAGTCTCCAATATTTTCTAATCTGCTTGATATTTTTAGGCTTTTTACAATCATCCAATATTTTTTAAGCTAATTAGGAAATATGCGAAGAATGACGCATTCGGAATAAATTTACTGAAGCTCATTGCAATAGACCTTTCACAAGACTATTCGCCATAAGTCTTCATTAATTTGAACTTTTATACAAATTTGCCTGAAATAAAGGAGGTTGATTAAGCAATGAATGATATATTTTTTAATGAACTAAAATGTAAGTGGGCTAACAGCAATAAGCCTAAAAAATGTCAGGCTGGTTCGAAAACACTAGAGATTTTTCAAATTAATGACGTTTTGCAAAGAATCGGATTATTCAATTAGCCAACAATTACAAAATTGTTCCTTGGTCGGCAAATTCTAATCCTCCTGACAAGTCCTAATTCCAGCTTCGAATAAACTGAAATATTTTTAAACTTTTGTTATAGTATAACTTTAATTATTTTAAAGCTTTAAATAGTTTCGATTCAAAGCGAAATAATATTTAATATATAATTGTATCTAAAACCTAAGGAAAAAAAACACAGAATTTTAAAATTAAAAGAAAATAACGACTTGAATTATTTACCTTACACGCACGTTTAAAAAAGATGTAGGACAACGTATTAGAAACTATGAATTAATTTGTAAACGAATTTATTTTTCTACTTAATTTTAATTTGCACGGGAAAAATAATTTCGAAAATTTACATTGCTATTTTTAAAACATACTTAAATTTTTTTGCGAGTAATTATAATATTACAGTTAAAATTAAACTCATTTTTTATTGTTTTTCTAGGAGAAGAATAAGAATTTGTTAAATTAATTTCATAAATCAATGTGACACACTTTTCGGGACAACAGACTATTGACCTCGTAAATAATAAATAAATTAAACAGACAATGTAAATAAGGAATAAACATATATTTTCTTAAATAGTTTCATATAAATTCAGTATTATTTATAAGGTTAAAATAAGACCATTGTCAAATTCCATAATTAACTTTTTATGATTGCATGAAAAAGTGTATTATTAGATCCCATATTAGGTCATTGTTTTTGTTAGTATTTATCTATTTAGTGCCATCCCATTTATTTATTTTTTATGTATATTAATTTGAAACAAACACGTAAGCGTTCGTTAAAGAAAAAACTGAGTGTGTATAATTTTGTATATTTTTTTAATGAAGTATGTGTTTTGTAATGAAGTGTGTTTTTTTTCTCACATAAACAATAATTTGCTTGCCCTAAGGTGCTAGTTTTTTACATCATTTCTAAAAGGTTTCTAAACGTATGAGTTAAGTTAATATAGGATATAGAAGAGCCTGTTAATAAAGAAGATCCTGTATATAATTTATATAGAGTCAGGGTTAAGTAAGCAAATAAATAAAGTTACATATACTCCCTTTCTCTTTAAGGGAAAAAGCGGTTGGACATTAGATATCAGTTTGAGTTGTGTGTTATGCCTCTTATATCGATATCAATTTATGCCTATACTTTAAAAGAAATTTCTAAAAAACATAGTTATTTGAATTAATCATTTATTAAGCCGTTAGAAGTATACTACCGACTAACTAATTTAAAATGTCAAAGGGGCATATGATTTGAGTGGCTACTTGCTGATAATTTTTAAAAGTTGGACGAAAAAGAATACTAGTTAGGCTTTATTTGCATAAATGTAGATGATAGAAAAGGTTGGCGTGAGGTCAAGAAGAGAGACTAACAATGGGAAGCTATTTTCTGTTGCGTGCTATTCATTTGTCCCTTTGATAATTTCTCATCGAGTTTACTTGTAATTATAGACATAGAGTTTACAATTTCGGTTATTAATAAGCACAAATATTCTCGATTATGGCACATTCTTAACATACTGTAAAAAAGGTTTTCTCAAAATTGAGCAAAAATGTGTCGAGCTTCAAAACAAATAATAGTTGAATTTGAAAACTTCATGTATTCGAAATTAAAACAGCATATACTCATTTTTGAGCAAAATGCATAGACTCGAATATGATTTGGAGGGAGAAATGTTCGTTTTTCTGCAGGCAGGGTTCAAGCCCAGGACCTCCGAGTTCGTAGCAGGATATTCTAACCACCATAGTTTTTCAGATGCTTAGCCCAGTGAGAGTTATGAAGCTTAATATAGTAGCTGCCGCAATGATACAGTCTGACATTCCATTCGCTTAAAACATTTTTTTAAGATATGGCTAAATAAGCAAAACGTGAAACTTAAATTTTAAGTTTTTAGTTGTTCATTTTGAGCAATGCAAGTTTAAGTGACAAAATTCACATTTTTAACAAAATCGGATCAAAAATTTTGAAAATCCGGCAGCAAACAAAGGTGAAAAAAAGGGGTCTTAATCAAACTAATTTTAGATAAAAAGCTAAATAAATTTCTTTTTATAAATCCTAAAAATATCCACAATCCTAAAAATATTTTAACATAATATTGCTAAAAAAATTGCCCTATAAAGGATTAAAGTTCGTTGTCAATGTAATACGTAAATAATAGAAACACTGATATACCTCCATTTAATAACAAACTTAATTTCTAACAAAAGTGAAATTAGAGACAGCATACTGAAGAAAAAAACAAATGAAATTTTATACTTCAAAGCATTTATTGAATATTGATAACGATATCAGATATGTTCTTATAAGTTTCATTGTTTGATATCATAGCGGAGGGTGGCAGACCAATAAAAGAATTTTCATCATTTTAGGAGGTTTACCAATAGTTGTTATGCAATTAATGGCATTAATTCTGTATTTTTTTAAACGATATTATTAGAATTGATAGTATTCATGGTTAAATTTAAAATTCCACAAACTAATTTTTCTTTTCAAGAAAGACCAAACATGTCCATAACACTTCAAGGCATTTCTCAACAAGCGCATTTTTTCAGCCATTTAATCTTGTGGCATCGATCTCGTTGAGATGGAACTACGAATTTATCCCCCACCCCCAGGAGACGGAAGACAAGGGGGTTCATGGCGCCAGAATTTTCCGCCCCCACTATGTATCTTCATGTTCCAAGACAACCCCTCTACAGATATTTCGTGGTGCCTACTTGCTTGAGAACAAACAGCAAAGAGGGAATACTCGTCTTTATCGATCTCAGATGCAAGTAGGACAACCGTTGTCTGGAGAAGAATATCAAATACTTTTATGAACCAATCTACAATTTGGCATATTCTGGCTTGTAAAATTAATTGCACTAACTTCTCTTTCTAATTGTTTAAATTACTTGACGTGAGAAAGAAAGGCGCCAAAGATAAATCTTTTTTCCAAAACAAACCATGGCAGGGTTCTTATCTTCTACAAATGGAACAATTTTTTTCATCTTAAAAAAAAGAAAAGAAATTATCACTGGAATTTATCAGTTTGAAAGGCCCTTATCTCCTTTAAAAAAAATTCCTTTGATCAGTAATGTCTAGGTAAACAAATAAAGGGTAAAGTATTATGGTTGTAGATTTGAATCTAGGATTAAAATCTTCGTATTTCTTCTGTTCAGATCAATCGTTTCTTATCAGGTAACTTTTTTCAAATATACAGACAAATAATAGGGGAAAGCAATGAGAAATAAAAGCAATTTTGAAAGAATAGGGTACTTTATTTAATGTGTGACTAGAATATTATAAGAATTTAGTTAAAAAATTTATTGAAAGGCTCAACTTAAAACATTTCAAACTCCAGTTAAATTTTAACAAATTTCTTAGTTTTTTAATAATTCTCGTTTGGAATTCCTCAACTATCAATGGCAGAAAACTAAAACGCGTGAATCTATATAGTGAAAAAGCTTAAAGATGTATGAATATACTAAATAAATTAGGAATATAGTGACAAAACTTTACGGGATCATAGTATGATGGTAATATTTTAAAATGTCAGAATCTGTATGAAAAACAAAGCACTGAATTGTTTGAAAATCCATGCACAGAATAAGAAAGCTTTAAATTGTAGTATACACAGAACAAGAAAGCTTAAAATTGTAGGAATTAATACACAAAATAAGAAAGCTTTAAATTATATGGATTTGTACTTAAAATGCAAATAATATACTGTATGAATCCATACACAGAATAAGAAAGCTTCAAATTATATGAATATATACACAGCTTTAAATTTTATTAATCTATACATAAAATAAAAAAAGCTTTAAATTGTATGAATTCATACACAGATTAAGAAAGCTTTAAATTATATGAATCTGTAAACATAAAATAAGAATAATTTATGATTTATACACAGAAAAGGAAAACTTAAAATTATATGAATCTATACGTAGAATATTAAGGCTATAAATCTGTACAGAGAATAAGAAAGCTTTAAATTGTAGGAGTTTATGGACCGAATAAGCAGATTTTAAATTATACAGATCTATATATAAAATATTAATAATATATTGTGTGTATCTATACACAGAATAAGAAAGCTTTAAATGATATGAATCTATACATAAAATAAAAATATTATTGTATGCATTATACATAGAATAAGAAAGCTTCAAATTATATGAATCTAAGCATTGAATACGAAATCTTTAAAGTGTATGAATCTATACATAATATAATAAGACTTTAAACTGTATGAACCTAGACATAGGAAAGAAAGCTTTAAATTGTCTGGGACAAAACTTTTAGATGTGTGCTAATGCTTTATCTGAACCTAAATCAAACGAATCGCAAGACGACGAACTACTTTATTTTTAAATTTTAAAGAGTGCGCAAAATATACTCGATAAAGAAATTTTTAAATCCTTAAAGACTATATGCCTTGAAACTAAAACATTCAGTGATTAAATTTTAAGATCATAAGCGAATATTTCCTAGAAAATAATCTTAAAAAATATATATATGAAGCAATTTAGGGAATTGTTTTCTAAGAACTATTTTATGTCATTTTTCTAAATTATTTTATTTACTTGTAGGTACACACATAGTTTCATCTCATCTAAATAGAGACCAAAGGCCAAACTTGGTAGATTATGAAACAGAGCCAAGGGGATATCCTCGTGGTTCTTGGCGACACAGCAGCAGTAGTAGTAAGGACATTTCTCCAGACAATTCTTCAACGGACAACGAATTATGGTTGTCCGTAACAGATGATGTCGGCCATAAAGGTTTTAGGCCAACGCCAGAGCATCTGGATGGCAGATCTTCATCTCGAAGCAGTATTAGTCCAACTTCTCCATCTGCCCGATATATTGTGGAGCAGAAAAGAGGTATGAAGCTGTTGAGTTTCTTCAAATCGTATTATTATTCGAATTTAGATTTATGATTTTGAAACTTTTTGTTCATTAATTTCTTTTTTCAAAAAACATTTAACTGTTGTTTGAATTTTATATAATTCTTTTTTTTCTTCTTTTTTTTGGATTTAATCCAATTAAAAGTAAAACAATAAGGAGAAGAAATTCTTCAACAAAATTTAAACAATTCTTGTTTGAGTTAGCTTTACGAAGAAGAAGGAATTATATTTTTAAGCTCTTTAGCTATGTTTCGTATAGAAAATTTATTTCTACCTGCAGAGCAAACTCCAGTTGATAAATCTATTTCTTGTAACGATTCGGAGAAATGGCGTTTATTTAGAATACGTCCAGATTTTAAGTTTGCGATTTTAGTTTCAACAAACAGAAAATTAAAATGGCATAAAATGATGCCTGTGTTCGTATTTGTGTATTTGTTTCTGAAACCACAGTCTTACAAATGCTTTTTTTAACAGTTATTTCAAATTAATGTCAGTGAATAAAAACAATTTAATTCCTACTTATTGCGTGCCACCGAAATACCTTTCGTGTGCCACCTAGTGGGTCGCGTGACATAGGTTTACCATTTCTTTATGATTAATATTATTACTTTTTTGCTTAATACATTTTAATTAAACTAAATATTTTCCCCATTTGCAATCTTTAAAACCCAGCATTTACATTAAATTTAACGAAATTTAAGTTTTGATTTGTTGCAAAACTGACAGACTCCAAAATAAGCTTCAAAACTGACCAAATTAAAAATTAAATTGAATAACTCCTTCCTTTCACGTGCTCCTGTGTGTTAAATCTCATTGTGTTAATGCTTCTTAAACCAAAAAGTATTCGTTCTAATCTCATTTTGGCCAAGTATTGCCGAAAATCATCATTTTCTGACAATTTTATGTTTTGGAGATGACCTTGTTTTGCAAATGAACTACAAACTTATAAAACAATAATAAGAAGCTGCTTTTAGTCTATCAAAAATTATGTACTAATTTCAATAAAAAATAAATTATATTGAATTGATAAATAAGTCCATTAATAATAATAAATAAATAATTGCTCACATGACCTTTACTCATTGGTTCATTGTCAAGGTATAAAAAGAGTAATAAATATCGAGAAAATAATTCCGTGTGTTATTGTCGGTGAATAAACATATATCTTAGCTGATAGTTATATTCAAATGAAGAATATTTTACGTGACATTTTTTTATCTTTCTTTTCTTATTTTCTTATTACTCTATTCATGCAGCTATAATAAATATGGCATAAAAATGCTTCTTCTCATTCTAGAGGCATTGTGATTAAACTGTGTATTTATATCCTATTGTGTATTAATAACATTTTTATTACGGAATCTTGAATTATGAAACAGCGATGACGTTTTGATGGATAAAAACGGTCATCGTCGTTGAAGTGTTGATGACTCTTTCTAGTAGCATTGCCAGATCCTAATAGAGAAATTTTCGTTAAAAATAAAGAAAAAAATAAGTTTTAAAAAGGTTGTTGTTAGTATAGCATAAATATTTGCATAAAAATAACTTACATAATTTATGTTAACAATTATATAACAACATCTACTGCTATTATGAATGGCTGTGGGAATATGGAATTGATAATGTAATGAAGTACTTCAAAACTATGACATTTTTCAAAAGAAAATTTTAACTATCTCATGGAGAAAAAACGTCTCGAAAAATTACCATTCTGTAACATTTCTACTAAAGAAAAAAAAATATTTGTATGTGTTGAAATATGTTTAAAAATTTTAATGAGCTCTTTATACTAAAGAAATTATTTATTTATATATTTTTTTATTTCTTAAAACTATGTTGTCACTAAGAAAAAGTGGATTTAGGAATGCGTTGTTAACAATTAAGTTATATTACAATTAAACAATGTTGGTTAAAAATTAAAAGAAAAAAATTAAACAATGGCGCATTTACAGAAACAAATTTTTTTCTTGAATAGAAATTTACACAAAAGTAATTTTAAATGTAATAATAGTAATTTAAAAGTAATTTTTTAAAAATAACTGCATAAGTTAAGTAATTTTAAATTTAGTGATATATAAAAGATTTATATTTCTGTTTTTTACTTAAAAGAAAATGCCATCCGGCTGTGTAGCTGTCAGGGAACTGGTCTTGCATCAGAAAGGTTCTGGGTTCGAATCCCGGTCAAGGCATGGATGCTCTTTCATTCTCTGTATTGTCTGTCCTTAGTGTGGGAGCAACGTTGGCCCACCTAATATGGTGCCCCTAAAAAGTGGCCAACAAATCTTCCCTTCAGATGCCTGCATGACGTAGGTAATTCATCAGGTGGAGAAAAAAAAACTTAAAAGAAAATATGCATAGCATAAACAAATAAATATATTGTTGTATAGATTTCAACTAAAAATCTTACTGAGATTAGTTAATTTGTTTAATCCTAATGCATTATTGTATGATTCTCCTTTTTTAGATATCATAAACTTCAAAACGTAAAAAGTGAAATTATGCTCAAATTTCTTATTAATGACATGAGCATATTTCATAATTTTTTATCACAATATAAATGCTACTACCATTGTTTTTTAGTAGTTGGCGTGATATGCAAGACAAGATCATATTATTTCCGTATCGTGATCTCTCGCACCAACTATAATCACCAAGGCACCAAATAGATTTTAAACTTGCAAACTTTAAAACGAAAAAAAACCTGTAGAGGTTTGCCCGAGGGTATTTAAGAATTACACCCTTCGAGTTAATCTCATTCTGTAATGATTTTTACAGTTTCTTGTGTCTTGATGATTATTGTGCTGCAGATCACGATACGCAAATCTTCTCACAAGATTAAAAACTTTCTGTGATAACTATTTCAAACGAGAATGAGTTATCAGAAAAATAACTTGCATGAATACAGAACAAATTTCTTTTTATCGCAGTGTCTGAAGATTCAACGGGATCAGGTCGTCCCATTTTCTTTGCAAGTTCCAGACGTGGCTCTAAAGGTTCTAATCACGACCCAAAAATGGACACTTCGCCGTATCACCAGCATCAGGTGTCCTCTGGTATCATTGATTATTCCAACCCACTTTCCAAAGAGCAGTACTCCAGGAAAAGTTCCTCAACCCATTCCGAAGAAAGTGGATTCATCAGGCGAGATTCAAAATCTGGCGGATCCAGCAGTTGGCGCGATTCTAAGACCGACCAAGAATCCAGCTCTACCAGTCGTGGCGAAAAAGATTCTAAATCTTCTGCGTCTATGGAGGAGGTGAGCGATAGGAACTAGACTGTGAAACTCAAAAATAACAACTTTCAACTTGGTGACAAATGTCGCCAAAACCTTTAATGTAGCTAGTGATTTTAGTAGTAGTTAATAAAAAACTATGGAAAAAAAACACTGCCGATTACAAGAACAAAGCATTTAAGCAACTATTTTCTGAACTAAAGAATATAATTCGTAAACGATTTGAGGACGCTTTTTTGCCGAAATTATACCTGCAAGGCGCACACGAGAGACATTAAAATATCATCTTAGAATTTAGAATAAAGAGCTTCATTGGCAATAAGCGGTGAAGAATGCCTAGTTCTTCTGTGATTGAATTTTATGGAAATCCCATTTTCGCCTGTGTAAATGGGCTATTAAAAACTTATTTTAGAGTAAGATGCATCTTTCAATATTAAGCCATAATGAACTAACAACAAAGTTACATTTGCTATTTTGTATGATCCTCCTTTGATTTTCTTTGCTTACTGCAGTGTATGCAACAGCTTGCGCTTGAGAATTATTGCTTCCCCTTCCAGATGCAGAAAACTATAATTAGAATATTTAGAATGACAGAACTAAAAGATGACTAATCTAGAAGGTAATAACTACTGCTAACTTTCTTTTAAAATTTGTGTTTGTTATTTGTTAGTTAATTGGAAATGGTTAAAACTGCTTTAATTTCCTTCTGTGTTTTGTTTAATGCTTATTTTGCTGCAATTCCCAAGCTTTTGTTTATGCGCTTACTTAAATTTTATTATTTAACAGTTGTAGAAATCTACAACAGGCATTGGTCTAGCAAAATAGTAATTGTTTTAATATGTTGAAATTAATGACTAATTCAAAACTAAGATAAATATTTAAATAGTTGGTGGTAAAAGTTTCAATTTTAAAAACCTTCATACTTAGTACAAATTTTACTTTTGTTTTTAAAGGTCAGCTGAACCAGCGATTTTAAATTATCAGCTGATACTAATACTCCATGAACATCAAGAACTCTATTACAACGTTATTGATACAATATAAAGTTTGTTGATGATAATTTTTTTAATTAATAATTCACAAGTCAAAATAACGTAATTAATCGAAACGATTATTATTATTGTTTAAAACTGAAAAACGTTAACGGAACACGAACAAATGAAACATGAACAGATATGCTACGTTTTCGGTAATAATGAAGAACCTCTTTTGAGTTGAAACTCTGAAGAAGGTTCTTCAGTTACGAAATTTTCAACAGTGATAAAGTTTCTTTACTATGGAATTGAAACTATAGATACTATTTATATGAGATTATATTCACGTTGTTTAGCTTTTATGATTTATGTAACCCGAATTTAATCCTTTCTTTTTAATTAGATTATTATTATCGCTTTGAGACATCTAACCTGGAGAAATGTGGTATGTTATGGCTGTTAGATTCAATAATGAGATTTGTCAGTGCGCTGGGTTGTAGTGTCTGGTGTAGAAAAAATATTCTGCGAAAAAAAATCATATGTGTTCTTTTATACTTATTTCTATACATCAAAATAAATTTTGTGTTCGCTATTAACTCGAACCAACAATGCGTTTTTTCTGCAGTTTTTTACAAATTGCACAAAAAAGACGCTTTGCAAATTGATGATTACAAATTCAATGTAATCGGCATTAATTTATGAATAATTGCCACCCTCATTCAAAGAGCAATTTGAGCGTAACATTCAGTGGGGGAAAACATAATGTTTAAATTCATTTGTTGTAGGTATTGTTATGTCACAAGTATTACTAGGTCCATTATTCCGAATTCCAAGCATTATGAGTATCATAGATAGTGCTATGTCCAAGTAGCTCATACATAAGACAGACCTTTACAAAATTATCCCAAGTAATGGCTAGGTATTCTTAACTTGGGAAAAGATACTTAAAAAATTGAATCTATATATAAATATGTTTCTAAGAAATCAATATCGTACTCTGAAAGTAGAGACCTTCAGAGTTTCTAAATATTTGTTTAAATGGTTTTCTCAGTTCATAAAATTAAAAGAGATCATAAACATCAGGTTCTTACAACCCTCAAGAACATTGAAAACTAGATAAAGTGCCAGGGATTTTACGTAAAAAGAAGTTTTTGAATAACACATAAAGAACATAAGAAACTTAACAGAGAATGATAAGAATAGACAACAAAAATGTCCCAAAAAAACAGATACTAGGTAATACAATCAATTCAGTTATGTGGATCTATGCACCCTTGCTCTGGCTACATGAAAATTTATTAACTGTCACCAGGAAGCCAATTGCATTTACTGTTATTAACATTTAAAGAATTTCTTGGCAATGGAAAATGGTCATACCTACTTTATGTAATGTACTGCAGACTCAGTACACTTTATACAAATAATACTCGTGCTAGATTACTAGAAGATCAACTCCTATTTTCAGCTATCGGTGTTCATAATTGTAACTTTCTTTACACTTTAGGTCTTGGAATCACTCCTTGCAATTCCGCCGGTTTCTAGATCTTCAAGCCCTACTTCGCCACGTAGATCAAAATATTACGTGTTTGCACATGAGACAAAACGTTCTCAAACTCAAGGATCTCGAATGCCGCAAGAGACAATACCTATTCAGGGCATACAATCACAATTGGAGGAAAAGAGTCCAGGTAAGATTAAAATATTTCATCTGTTATTTCACGTATTAACCTTAATGGCTCGAGGGAGTGACGCCAAATATGCTAATTAATTAGTGCGGACGATATTTTAGGTTACAAAATTAAGTTCTTTCTTTGTATAAACATATCTTTTTTTCAAACGGATTTGGATTTCTGACTCCCAAAATTCAGGGAGTAACCGCAATCCGGTAAATATGGTCCTGATAGTTTGGACAGGAGATCGATCCAAAGTTTGGACCCCTTCATGTTAATTTTACTTTTTGCGAATTTCGCCAAATCTCGAGAACTTTTTAAGTGAATTGAAAATTTTCTGCACACAATTAATCCAAAGATAATTCCATACAAAAAATAAATTCAAAAAATATTTATTATTTTTTTAATATCTTATTTAATAACAGTTGAAAAAATATTGAATAATAGGGTACAAAAATTTTGAAGTCATTTTAAAATATGCAGTTTCGTAAGGCACAATACAAAATTTGAAGGAAAACGAATCTGAATTCACACGAATCTGAGGAATCAAATTTTAAATATACGACTCCCTTAAAATTCGATTTCTCAAGAACAATTCCACCAATTTCGCTCGAATTTTGTATTTTGCCATAGAAATTTACATAGTTTAAAATGACGTAAAAAATTTAATACCTTACTATTCAAAATGATTTTGAATAATAATAAAATAATAAAAAATAATAAATATTTACTACATTTTTTTTTGCATGGAATTATCTTTGGATACATTAATTTTTATAATTGTGTGTAAAAATTTTTCAATTCGATTAAAATTTCTTCAAAAAATGGCGAAATACGCTGAAAGTAAATTTAACATTAAACTGTCGAACACTCTCCTGACCAAACTATTAGGACCATATTTCTCAGATTGCTGCTACACCATATATTTTGAGGGCCAGAAATCATAAACCATTAAAAAAAAAGTTAAGTTTATTTGGAGAAAGTACTTTTTTGTGTCTGGTGTCATAACTTAAAATATCATATGCACTTACAAATTAACATATTTTAGGTCACTCTTTCGAACCATCAAGATTGAGTTTTAGTACATTAAAATCTGATTATTAGATCACAAGTTATTCAGGATGATTTTTTTCATACTGTGCATCGGCAATGAATCGAGAAGACCGAAAGAGAAGTTAACAGTATATGCTCAGTTTCCTTTATGAATAAAAAGCAGTGTGACAGTGAACATAAACATGCATTAGCGAGGAACAACTCTGCTCACTACAATATCATTCGGCATGCCATGCATGTTCCATTTTAAAAATAAAAGTACGAAATTTTTTTGCATAAAATTTATAAATTGGAGAAACGCTTATAGACGATAGATTGGAAACTATGTTGCGCATTGAAAAATAAAAAAAATCGAAGAAAAAGTAGTTTTTTGAAAATTTTCAATAATGGATAAAAATGAAAAACATTGTATATATTTGTTTTACCAAACAATAATAAAAAAAAACTTTTTGCGTCCCAATATTTTTTTTCTCCAATTGGTGTCTAAAATTATCTGGAGACTTATGTAATAAAAGGAAAGATCATTTCAAATTTTAAAAACAAGAGTCAAGATGTTTTAAACACCTTTACCTTTAGAATAAACAAAATAACTAACATGCTATTTACAAAAATTTTTTTTCATTGTTTTAAAGAATTGCCTATTTAGATGCTTGCCTCAATAAATTCATGATTTAACCTTATAACTAATCATAGAGGGTTCTTAAATGACAACATTTTAAATTATCTCTAAGCATGCTTTTTTTTAAAAATAAATCCTTCAATACTGATGATTGTGTAAAATTACATGTAATGTAAACATTTTTGAAAATCTCCATATTCCAGAAGGCCTTAGCAAAACCAAATCACCGTCTTCCCAGTCAACCACCATCCCTCAAATCAGAGATCCCCAGTGGACAGCAGACGATGCACGTGGACTTGAAAACATCGCAGATGATCTTGGTAAGATGTTAGATGAGAGATTAAAATCCCCTCCACATTTTCCCAGTAGTTCTACCACAGCTTCTAAGCTTCTTCCTCCCTTTTCATCTCCTACGGACGAGATGAACCATGGTTCCTTCTGTCATAGCAGCTCAACCTCTCCTCTGGAAGATGACGTCCAGTCTCCGACAAGCATGGAAGTTCTAGTCCCAGAAGGAGAAGAGCCGGAATTGTCTTCCATCATCGAAGGTAAACAACAATTTCATACTTATAAATTAGATTTCGAAAATGTATACTTTCAGTCTCAAGCATGATGCACTTGCTTAGTTTATAGTTTTGCTTTGCAACATTTTAAATATAATGTAGTTTACTACTGGCCAAAGCATTTAAATATCAAAGTAATTGGTAGAATTTTAACTTAATTTTAAAATTCCCTGCTTGAATTTGAAATCCCGTAACCAGCATGTCCCACATTTCTTCCTATTTTTCCCTTCCTTTTCATTTTTATCTGACGTAGATGATACTAAATTAGAAGGAGATGGCAAGCAAAAGGATGGTGACCATGAACACCCCCCTTCACACGAACATTTGCTTCGGCAGCGGGAACAATCACATCGCCCTCCACTTCAAAGACAGTCTACATTGCCCTCTTGTAGCAGCGCCGACCTTTTGTCTCAACAGCCTCATGATGGTTTGTACGCGAATCCGTTTGCAGGTTTGCAACCGGGCTCCTACACTCGAGGTATGGCGGAAGGCTCTCTTCGAAGACCTCAATCTCTTTGTCTTGTTCTTCTGCACCTGCCTTGCATGTTTTGTGCACGTGCCCTTGCACCACCCCCACAAATCAATTCCTTTAGCAATGGCCCCGCCCGTATGACATGTGTCTCCGAACCCACAACACCGGTCAGGGATATGATTTGTCCTTCCTCTTATGAGCCTGGTTCTTGTTGTGGCCAACCTGTGAATCCTGTTGTTCTTGACAACACATACGTTCCCTACTTGACTAATATTGATTCCAATCCAGGACGGAGACCGTCAGGGACAACTACCACAGAGGACAAAGGTACGACCCAGGAAGCAAGTGGTGGAACTCCATCGAAGAAGAAGAAACCTGGCCGTGGAATACCTGATATCTATTCCTCAGAAAGTCATCTAAAGTGCCATCGACCAAAATGCTCAAAGAGCTTGCCAACAGAAGAGGCTAGAGTTAAGTTCAGAACTTGCGCCAACTGTTATACATATTACTGCAGTCGACAGTGCCGTAAGCTTCATATGTCCCGCCATAAGGATCATTGCCCTCAAACACGCATCAGCAATCTATGTAAGCAAGTACTTATGAAGGCCAGAGACGATCCGGTATCTAGAAGACATTTGTCTTTGTGTGCCAAACGAGGATTACTTTCAAGAGGAAGGGGTGCTGTAAAGTTGCTCTTCCTTAACCCAGAAGATGCTCTTGACTATCTTGTTCATGGTTGGGAGAGTGCCAAAGGTCAGACCTTGTATGTTTCCAGATCAGACCTCTTACCTCAAGAAATGGGAGCAGATGTCTTCACACAAGTGAGGAACTTTTGCGACAAATACAATCCCGAGCGCAAGTTTATTCTTTTGGCGGCAATAACAGTTGCAAATGAAATTGCTGCAGCTTTGGAAAGAGAAGTTGTGGTGCGTGGAGCTAAGATGCACCTGTCACCCTCATTACCCGAGGATGACGTGCAAACATTAATACTAACCATCACCAAAACGGATCCCGAAACAGGGGATCCAGCTCAAACCACCGTGGAGGATCGAAAAAATGGTCTCAGTGTTGTTGTAGAACAATTAGCTGCCAGGGGAGTAGATCTAGAAAAGTTATATCCTCATACATACAGAAAGATTTTACGTTTTGTCAATGATAACGAGCCTTTTACGCCCATTAGTATATTTCCGACAGATGAAAGGAATGGTAGAGTATTCATGTGCATCATACTTCCATGGGCTGATGCAGACATTATCACAAATATTTCTACAAAAGGTGGACTGAATAAAAGTTCAAAAAGAAAATGGCCTCTCTAGTATTATCAGCTGGTTTGTCTCCTATATTTCCTTATGGTATTTTTAAAAAATTCTTCAAAAGCCTAACTTGTAATCTAATCATATGATATGTAAGATTCGTTGTTCCATTTGGCTCAGTATAGCAACACAAAATGTGCTATTCAATTACTTGAATTTCGAAGTAATACAAAAATTTAATACACGTGATAGTTAGCTTATGACAATAAAGAGAAACACAAAAGAAGCTTAAGGCTTGTGAATACCTCAAAAATTTATAATAGTATTAATTGCTTCAAAATTCTTATTTATGAACATACTTAGATTATTTAATTAATAATGCAGATATTGATTATAAGATTTCCATATATTTTTTTTTACATTCTGTGTGAGGATCCCTTTATACATACAAATGATTAATTTATAATATATACATTGTTTCTACTGTGAATCAAACCCCCCGCCCCCTCCCCCCCCCAAAAAGCTTATTTTATTAGATTTTCAAAACAAAGAAAAATTTCTAAAAGCGCTACATCATTTATTGATATTATATTTTAGAACTTTTAATCGTTGCAGAATAATATTTCGCAGTAATATATCCGCCATAAATAAATGTTCTTAAAACAACAAACATTCTTAATTCTAAAATAATTAATATTTTTAAAAAATGAAAAATTGATTTTCAATTTTTTTAAGTATATTATTTTTTCTTTTTTTTTTAAAAAAAAAAAGCTAACTTTAGTCTAAAACATTTTAATCGCTTATATTGCTAATTTTGTTTTTGTGAAATATTTCCCTTTCCCCTCTTCTATTTTGAACATCAATAGGCACATAATTCATTAAAATGTTAAATTTAATGATATTTTTTTTAAAAATATAATAATAACGAAAGGCTTAATGTCTTTATTCCTTTATGAAATCATTATAGCTTCTGTGCTTTTACAACAAACTCTTCCGCAATACTTAAATACCTTTTTTTCCCATCGAAATAACTGTAACTAATCTTTCTCCTAGCAACTCTAGTCCCATTTATCTTGAAAATGCACTTAAATACTCATACTTAATCCACTTTAAATAATTTCGGACTTCCTTTAACTCTTGCTTCAAATATTTATAACAATTACTAAAAGTGTACATAGCTATTTGAAATTTAAGCACCTACTATCTCCGATTCATTATTAAATATTCACTTTATACTTGTTTGTTTTTAGGTGCCAAAAACATATTAGTTTTGGAACAAATTCTGATATTTCAGAATCAATTTTTTTTTTAAAAATGCGAATGAAAGTTTTCGAAAATGGTGTTTAAGGAAGCAATTAAACTTATCTATTACATGCAGTCTTTAAGGGCTAACGTTTTAAACATATAATTATCACAAATGTATGTCTAATGAATAAGTCTCCTAATTAATTAATAAATAAATAAGGGGTACATTTATAAGTTAATTTGTTTGCGAACATTTTCCATTTAATTAAATAAATTGTCAAGTTATGTCAAAAGTGGCAAACAGGGGGCACTCAACCAAAAAGATACTAAAAGTGTCGAAATTTTATTTTTACTTCTTTTTTCCTAACTTTGAATTTGAAAGAAAGAGCTTGGAATCTGCTAATTTGATTTCTCTTAGATAATTGATATTAATTTTGATTATAATTTTTATTGCGTTTTAACTAAAAACTTATTTGACACCACGGCTAATAGAATTGCCCCCCTTTCCGATGTAAATCATACATGCTTACCCCTAAGACCATAAAAGGCAATTAAAGTAGTATAAATATACTACATTTTTTTTCACACTGAATACATTTAAAATCAATTCTACAGTTTTTAATTAGTTTTTTTTTTGTTGATAAAACTGAAGCCTGAGAATTGTATCTAAAATTTATTTACAAAATATTAAAATAATAATAAATAAATTAAAGCAATATGGTATGACTAAAGATTACATAACTAATCGGCAATACTGGCATTGAAAAGATATAATTACTTAATTTGTGTAAGTTTCAATCTTAATGAAAAATCAATATATTTTTTTAAAAAAATATTTATATTTTTTCTGATTGAGTTATAATTTCTTAATTTTAAATCTTGTACATATTTTAATTATAATTAGGAAAATAAAGTTATGCTATATCAAAATGAAAATACTATTTTCTTAATAATAGTGACTTTAATTATTTTAAATATCATTTATTTATGATTTTTAGCACTATAATTAGGCTTCGTAACATGCATTTACATATCAGGTAGGGTGACATATACAGAAACTCAGAGATAGTAATATAAATTTTTAATTCATGGCAACTTTGTCAAATCACTTAAGTAGAAATAAAAAATTGTAGAGCGTTCAAAAGCTAATTTATCAACGTTTCTCATTAAAACAGATGATAGCGTGAAAAGGTATTAATACTGTAGTTTTTTTTTTAAATAATATTATTTTTTTTAAAAAAATTCTTTTAAAATGTGATAAATATCAGTATTATTAAAATGACAAATGGGACAACTTTCTGTTTCAAATATTATGTAAAAAACGTAAACTCAGTTTTCTGTTATTCCTTTTAAATGTTTCGACTTTGTATCAATGTTAAATGTCTGTTGAATCATTGCTGTTGAGTTATTGTTAAATGTTCATTTATGATATCGAAAAAATGTTCTTATTGATGTAGATAGTAGAAAATTCTATACAAATGTTTAATATTTCTTTCCCCGTGGCTGTTGTATAATTTATTGTACATATCGGATCTCGTAATTGAAGTGAAAAAGTTTTGTTGTGATATTTTACAGAATACTTTGCGGCGAAATGACACACGATTCTGATTCTCGTTGTAGTAATGTGACAACTTAAGTAAATCTGTTTGGTTTAACCCTTTAATTGATAACCTTGCTCTAAGATAACAACAAACTCGGTTTATCTGCTTTATTACAAACTAATGTTTTCTTATGGTAATCGTAATTTAGATTAAGGGGAGGGAGATAGCTACCATCAAATCTTATGATTGTCATTCTAAAGAAGAGATTCCCAGTTCCTTTCCCATCTATGGCAACATCTTCTGTCGGAACAAAGACTTCATACATAAAGTTCATAGCAATTGTGAACATATTAACCAAAGAAAAACGAACCATTTTAAAAATATTTAATGCTAAGAATGGCAGTTTTTCATTGTTAGTTCTATGTCAGACAATTGAATTCGCAGATCAGGGGCTGTATCTAGTCTAATTCTAATTTTTTTAATTATTATTATTTATGAAAGCATACGTTAAAAATGAATAAGCTGCTTGCGGTTTTCATAAATGTCGAAATGAAAAAGTGCTGTTATATATGTTGAAATCATGGTCACGGAAAATATGTTATCGTACTGTTGATTTTAGTTAGTTTATTTTGAATTAAAAAGTTAGAAAGAAAATAATTTTTTTTTTATATGTATAAATCCATGCCATTCAATACATTATTGTTACAGAAAAATATATTTCAAATGTATATAATTTTGCTATTTCTTTCGTCATTGGCATTTAACCAAATTAATTTCATAAAAATAACCGAAATATTATAGAAATAATGGTTTATTGTTTGTATATAAATATAATTACTGCTTTAAAAAAATGCGGAACTCCGGTGATTCTTCCACGAAAACCAGAACTCCGCGGAACACCTTTTTGGAATCGTAGCTCTGAAGTTATTGCAATACCTATCTGACGCTATTTCAGCCATGAGGCTAGAGCAGTTTGGTTTTGGTTAGAAATTTTCACTAAACTCTGAGAGAAGTTTAATCTAAACATTCTCTTTAATTCCTGATAAATTTAACCAGAAATATTTTTGCCAACAAGCTTATTCGAAGTAATGGGATATTTCTATAACGGGCCTATTTTAAGCTGCTCGCGTCTTACATTAGGAACCAATTAAAAATATGTAAAGTTAAACAGTGGTAACTACACATTCATATATATATATATATATATATATACACAGGGACAATTAATGAACTATCATGGTGGTTAAAAAATCCAACTGGACAAAGAAACATTTCCAGCTCTCGCGTTGATTAAATTCGCCATTGGTGTAAGTGAAAATGGATCGATAAAACTCAAAAATATGAATTTTATCGATTATCGGTAGATTTGACTCTCAACCAGGTAATATACAAGCACGAATAATCTATTTCTAATGAACTTGTAGAAATAAAACGTTGTTTCATCGAATTATGACTGCCAATTTTACTATGCAAGGTAACATTAATTTGGACAATCACTCCCAAAAATTGAACTTAAAACAGAAACATACAGTTTTTTTTTTAAAGTTTTGCAAGTAGTTTTAAAATTTAACTGTGTAATTGAATAGTAACTGAAAAATTCTTATTGATAGAATATAGTATTTCTAAAAGTTAATTTTTTTAAATAATAGAAATGTTTAAACAACGTAAATCATTTGAATAAAATAGAAGACTCCTTTATGTGAAACGAGGAACAAAAACATGAAATAAGGTAACAATCATCTTAAATACCAAACAAAAACAATGACAACACTTATTATTTTAATTAAATAATTTGTGATATTCTAACATTATATTATTAGAGTTTTAAATCTAATCCAATGATGTCCCGTTTTATGTTGGAAATATGTTTTTTTTTAAGTTATTATTATTTTGAATTTAAAAAAAATATTTTTAAATACAAAATTCTTCATAAAAAAAATATTTTTAGATAGAATTTAGCAAGTCCTTTCCAAGTATGAAAAATGCCTTTGAGTCATGCCAATAAGATAATTTAAAGTTTATTTTTTAAAAGCTTGAAATATTTATTTATTAATTATTACAGAATTTGCTTTTTAAAAAAAGTGTTTTTTTTTATTTAATCTTTTAATTTTATAGCAGTTATACACTTGAATTGAGTTTTTAAAAAACTTTTTTATAAAAAAGTTTAAATGAATACACCACTTGGCTCGATAAAATACAATAATAATTAAAGATTTATATTAAAAACTTATTTTTCTCAAAATAGATAGACACCTTGTGTTACCCTCAAAGCTCAGAGCTATTTGTAATGTGCATAAAAGACACTATTTCCTCTTACTTAGTATTTTAACACAGATAAACATTTAAGACAAACTAATCATATTGGCTTAATTTGATACATTAATACCAGTATTAAAGTTAGATGATATATCGTAAAATATCGATACTTATCCTTGCAATTATTATATTTTAAATAATATTCTCACAAAATATAGTAAATATCATGTCTTATGATAAATATTGAATACGATAATATGGCGAGTCCTATTGATAGTGATAATTTTTTAATATATTATCTTAAGCGCTGATAACTTTTGATTCGGTAACAAAAATATAAACCATTATAAAATAATTGAAATCAGTTCAATTTGAAAAATATCAAGATTTATCGTAAATATCGATATTTCTAGACGACGTGTTGCAAGTATTACCAAAAACGATAATTTTTTA